CCAATTTGAGAAGAAGTTCTTGCAACCTAGCATCACCAGCCCATTGACATAGACGATTTTGACGCCAGACATCCCAGTCAAATTTCAAACTGCTCCTTTCAGCTGTAGACATGATACCTCTGAATAAAGCAACTGCTTCGCCCCAAGACATGTCCATACCCATGCCGAGGCCAAAGGAGAAGCGACGAACTAGATCAGGGCCGCCGAAAAAGCGAACTAGATCCTTGTTCTTGGTCTGTATGGCCTCAGCTAGGATCGTGTCGCCCCGGGATCGGCCAGGCTTGCCCTCGTATATGTCATTCATTTCTGCTGTCAACAGTGAGGGACCAAATGCCTCATACATTGGCACCGCCCTAGCAAACGTCCAGTCGATAAGACCAGTGACATTAAAATCCTCATCCACAAGTATATGGTCACCTTTGTCATCCATATGTTTCAAAAAGAAGGGACCGTTGTCAATGCCCGGTTCAAATGCATTCCACTGGCCTTGTTCCGCCAGTTCTTTGAGGTATCTGAAGATCAGGTAGGCATTGACGGAGTACCGAGTGAAGAGCTGGCGGTCGCAGATTAATTCGAGATATCTCTCCGCCCAAGTCGCGTAGTACTCTCGTGCATTTTGAAAAGGTCCCATCTGTGAAAATGTACCAGTCCGGTCGCTCACGACGGGGCCCATACAGATAGTACCATTGGGCTGTAAAGAGAGACAGCCGATTTGCTCAAGGGGGTACTTATTGATAGTACACAAGATGTCGGCGTAGTTATTGTACAGTTTGCGGAATTGCTCTTCTGACGGGCTAAGAAAAAGCACCGGTGTCCCAGGGAGTTCCTCTATCAGCATGTACGCAACGCCAACATCATTCTCAGGGTCATTGAGTAGACCGAAGTCGTAGAGTTTAGGCGACGGCACGTTCATATCCTTGAGCCATTCTAAAGTGGCACATTCGCTCTTTAAGCAGAGATTGCTGAAGTTGTCTGAGAATGAAGTGTAGTTTTGTCGGAGTATCCGAGCAAGCCAGGCCGTTCCATCGCTGAAAATGATTCGAAGATGGATGTGCATGCCCCCCATCCGCTTCTCTCCTAGAGGGTCCGCAGGGTCTAATCTACAATTCAGGCTCCTGTTCCGCTCTGAAGCTCGACGTAGAAGATTTTTGTCATTGATCATGCGTCGAAGTGCCGTTACTTCTTCTGTTTGTGCTGCCCTCCATGCATCGTCATCAAGAGGGTCATTCTATGATCAAATTAGAACATGCTTCCAGCTAGTCACGGCTCAACGTACCTTGCAGCAATGAGTTGGGGACATGGCATGAACAGCGCAAAATCGCTGCTTGCAGCGTTCGCAGAGACCAATATCGATCGCGGCAGGAGCCGAACATTCGGAGATACAACAAGTCCAAAAACGAAAAATTCCGGACATATTTGGTTTCCCGCAGCTTTTGCCTTGTGAATTTCAACGTGGAGTCCGGAAGAGAATTGCGAGAATAGGGCAATGGGTTACTCACCTCCCTAATGAGATGCTTCTTTAAGTGGTCTGTCTGGCCACGTGATCAGTGAGCCGCCCCGGAAGTCGGTGAGATCGGCATGCGTGATGAGGTATCTGCACCAGATCAAGTTTTCTTAGCCACAATTAATGATAGACCTTGATTAATACTGATGTTGAGAACATACATTGGATTAACATGACTAGATGGATCGCAAAGCAAGAAATTGGCGCATCTAGGAGGCCCTACCACACTAATTGGCGAGATGGATGGCTATCCCATGCATGCATGGTGTT